GAAAAATTTTAAAATTTCTTTTATATATTGTGGTTATGTAGGAGAATAGACTGCTGTTATTGATAATAGAATCCCTTTGAATTTTGAGAAGCTGATCTTTGAGATTTTAAATAAGAATTTGTTAAATAGTAAAATTTTGTTTTGGAACATACTGTGATTAGTGATAAAATCTCTTTGAATTTAAGTTAAAAATCTCTTTAAACTTAAACTGTTCTATGGGGTTTTAAATAAGAAATTGTTAAGTTGTAATATTTTTGGAATAGACTGCAGTTGATTGGGAAATCTCTTCAATATATAAGCTCAAAATCCTTTTTGAATATAAGCTGATCTATATTTATGAGATTTTAAATAAGAATTTGGTAAATTAAATAAATTTGTTTCAAGCTGATCTATTGTGATTTAAATAAAAAATTCCAGTCAAAGTCAAAGTTTACAAATATAATTTTTCAATAATTCATATTCGCAAAAAAAATAAAATAAGGTTAATGAATGAAATTTCTATTTAGAATATAAAATTATAGAGATGAAGCTACAAAAAATTAAAAATATTAATTGAAAAACCGAGCAAATTCAATGACAAAGATTTCAAAATTTGCATTAAATATTTCATTGTTCTAATGTTCAAATCGGTTTGAAATTAAATGTTTAAAAAATAGCCAAATTTATCTTAAAAATAGCATAGTTTCTTATTTAAAATTTTGAGCAGTTTGAAATACTGACAGAATATTAGCGGAATTTCGATAAAATTTTAGACTAAGCTATAAAGAATTCTAATAAGCAATTAAAATTAACAACTTCAGAACGTAAATTAGGCTTATATTTACAAGATTGTTATAATATTTCTTCAATTTATTAAAATTATTCTTAATTAAATTACCACTCACATTATTATTACTACAATATTTACGACAATATTGTTATTACTTTAATTTTTGACAATATTTATGATTGACTTTGTGCTTCCATTTTTTTTGCATTATTAATGGGACGAGTCCATTGGACAAAAATTGTTCTTATTTTCAAAAAAAAATTAATTTTCCTTTGCTTATACAAACGGAAAAATTAAAATTTATTAAAAGTTTAATAGGCAAAAGAAGACTTCAATTTAAAATATTAAATTAAATTGAATTTCTCTTTTCATAAAATCCAAAAAAAAAAAACTTGTTTTTTAACTTTTAACTTTAAAAAAAAAACTTTTTAATTTAATATTTTTATTTTTTATGTATTTTCTAGTAGTTCTACTACTCATAATGGTCCAGACCTGATAAGTCCTTGTAAATTATTATACGGCTACAAAAAAAAAAATAAAGTATGAGTACACAATACAAACGTTTTATTACGCTTTTCTACTTTAACAAAGAAAAATAGATTTTTTATAGCGGTACGAACGTATGTTCGAAGGTTATACTAAATTTGCCTTACCACTTGTAACGCTAAGAAATAGTAGTCAGAGATATAGACTTAAGTGTATGTTTTTGATTAGCGTCGAATTTTGAGTTGATTTAACTTTGTCCGTCCGCCCATCCGTCCGTCGCAGCGATAATTTAAAAACTAATTGAGCTAAGTTCACCAAATTTTCACAAATGATTATTGTAGTAAATGCCAGAACCCTATTTAAATTGAACATGATCGGGGTACTGGTTCGGGTAACTGCCATACAACTTCAAAATTTATTTAGCTATATCTCAGAAACTATAAAAGCTATAGTATTGAAATTTCACGTTGAAATTGCTTGGTTCTTTCTGGTAGCAGCCATACAATTCCAAAAGTTATTTGGCATTATCTCACAAGTTATTGAAACTATAATATAGAAATCTCGTAAAAACAAGGATATTTTTTTTTTCTCCACAGGGAATGAGGGCCTTAGGCCTCCCTCACGTCGACCCATAGGATCTTTTGTGATTCCCATCCCCACTACATTAGCTCTATTCTTAGGCTCCTGACAAACCGCGATATGGCAGCTACATCACACTGCGAAATCCTTCCGTGGGTCACAGAGCCCCTCCCCGAAGCACCTCTGACGTAGGCGAGCAACCGCCTCGCACTTACACAGTAAGTGGTTTCCGTTTCCTCCGGCAGACCTCATCCGCGACAAAACAAGGATATTATTAGGGCTTTTATGTGCGGTCACTTCTATTTTTTCTCGTTTTTTTTAATAATAATTAATTATTGATTATTAAGCTTTGATATTTGCTTCATTTAATTTTTTCCTTTATTCAATTTCAAAGAAATAATTATTTAAAAAAGTTTTTTTTTAATAAAATAATAATTAAATTTTAAAGTTTTCCTATTCTTTTTTTTTTTTAAATTAATAAGTGGCAAATTATTGAAAGTAAGTAAGAAAAAATACTTGTATAAATGGCAAGTTATAATATTAATAAGAAAATTAAAAAAGTTTTAGTTTTTAATTGAAAGTCTGCTCCTAAGAAATTGTGTGCTATACTTGAGAAGGCTCTATAATATTGTATAATGTTTGAAAGGCTGTGCCGGTACTTGAAAATCTTTAATATTATATTAGTTTTCAATAGATTTATTAGTGAAATTGTGTAGTTAAAATTTTATTTAAAATTAATTTTATAATTCAAAATTTGCTTGTTGTTTCGATTGAATGTTTTAAATAATTACTATATTTTTTTAGTAGCGTGTGCAGGCTACAAAATCATATATATCAATTAACCGTCGGTAAACTTTTGTAGGTTATGGCCAAATATTGTAATATGGGAGTATTAGTATGGGCGACTTGAGTTTTTTTTTACGTTACATTTCTTACTTACAAGAAGAAATGACATTTTCGAATGAATTAAGACGCAATCGAATATATTATTTTTTTTAAAGTAAATTCTGTAATTAATTTATATGGTATTCGTTTCAATTTCGAATTCATTTTTGATTAATTACAGTGAATTATGTAATTTCAATAAATTAATTGTAATTCCAATTTTAAATCTATATGAATTGGGTGACAAATCTGAATATTTTTCTTTGTGCTATGAGCTCTATTGCACCAACTATTTTTTAATTAATTTATAATAAATTTTTTGCAAAATTTGTGTTGCATCAGAATTCAAAACACTATTTAAAGACTAAAATATTTTTTCAATAAGTTTACAAAATAAATGATAAGTAGTTAGAGCAAAAGGGCCCCTGCTTTCATGTTTTATTAAAAAAATTCTTATACTTTGTGAAGAATAATTAAAAACTATTAAAAACTAATTGAATATTATTTTAATTTTGCAAACTTTTATATAATCTATACATTAATTGAGGCTATAAACAACTCACTTCACATAATCAGTTCTGTAAAATTGATATTCTTTAATGAGGCATGAAATTTTTCGAGTTTTCCACCTACATACAATCTTCCTACACATATTATATTTTTGTATAGAATTGTAGATTACAAAATATATACGTTATAACAATTATTGATTTTTGTATAACAATAACGAAATTTTAATATATAAACATATGTTTTTGTTGAGATTTACAAAATGTTTTTTTTTTTGTTTTAAATTAATTGAATTTTTCATTATCAATGCGTGATATCAATTGTAATCGAGAATGTTGATAAAAATTTTCCATACTTATCTTGCAACATTTTCATTATGACCTTATATGTATATCGGTAATACATACACCATATTAAAATACTATGTAATAAATCATTGTTATATTGTTAATTAATTTGTGTTTAATAATATTTTTAATATTATTAGTCATGAAATTTTTAAATAAATTTAATTTTGAAATCTTAAATTGACATTGAATTTAAAATTTCAAATTATTTTTTTTGTTTTTAAATTTTAATTAACTATTTATGTAGATAATCAATTAATAAATTGGTTAGTATATAAGTAGTAATAATTGTTTTCGTTATTTTTTTTCGTTATTATTATGCTAGCTACAATAGAGTAGTTTTCTGGCTGTAAATAATATAAAGAAAGCGTTTATGCGAAGAGATAGTGGAATCTAACAAAGGGAACTGGTAAGAGCAAAGGGAATTCAGTTCTAACTTAGAGAATTCAGTTCTAATCTTAATATAAAGCATGCTTGATAAATCCTGTGCTTTAATTTCTATAAATGATGCAAAAATAAATTAAAATTAGAAGAGGAGCATAATATAAATATGTTAGATATTAAAGAGTTATTCAAGAATTAAAATTTTTAAGATTTAATTTAGAACTTTCCTTGCATGTCTGAATTACCGGAAATCCTGAATTATGTTAAATATAATGACTAGAAAAGTACGATTATACATATTCTATAGATATTGCAAAAAATGAGCTATAAAATTTGATTCAAATAGATTTACGATAAAATCGAAGAAATTTATGGACCATAAGCGATTTTATACAAATATAATTTACAAAACACCAAAAAAAACCAGTTGAAAAATCATTCGTATGAGAGAGAAATTTACTTTAGATAATTGTTTATCAAAAGTAAATTTCTAACTAAAACTGTTTATAATTGTGATAACTCTGGATTCTTATTTATTGAGTAATGTTGGGTAAGGTTAATGCGGCTGCTGCAAGGTAAGGCCTCAAGCATTTACATTTGCCAAATCTGTAGTCCGTGAAAAGAAAAATAATTCAAAAAATCTCCGCTTTATTTCCACTAAAGCCTCCTCCTCCTTCTCCTGCTCGTCACATCCTTCTGGGAGGCGCATCCTTCTGCTTTTTTTTTTTGTAAGGAATCTACCTAGATTTCTTTATTTATTTAAACGGTTTTACAACAATTTTTTTTTCAGTATATATTTTAGTTTATATAATTTTGTGTTCCACAATAACCCGAATATTTCAGTTGCTATTTCTCGATCCGATCGCCCTATTGTTTCTTTTATCGTAGCTCATATTATTTTATATATTAAATTTTGTATTAAATTAGGTTTAATGCTTTAATTTTACTTGTATTGCAGTCGAAATTTCTATCTTTTTTTTCATTTTTAAAATTAAACTTCTAAATATTAAACATTTTTACAATTTTTGCTTACAGTTTTAGAAAAAGCTACCAAAAAGTGATTCAATTTACAATATTCATAAATAACAATTTATATTGTGCTATAAATATACAAACATCATACATAAGAACCATTATACTCGTACATACGTTGGAGTGAGCATCAGAAATACAAATAAATTTTAACAGCTATAAAAAAAAAATTCAGGTGTAAGAAAAGAAACTATACACACATAATATGGCGAAGAACATAATGCTAGACAATAAAATTACCTTCTCTAATACAAAAGTAATCCTTTTGATACTAGGATTTTTGGCAACAATTCAATTGTCATTACAAATACCAACTATTCCATTGCCACTAAAATTAAATACACAATATAATATAGAATCATTTAATATAAAATCACTGAACCATATGAGAGAAGTAAACAATGACTTTAAAAATAGAATTTCATCGAAAAATGAATTCAACAACGATTCCAATAAAAGAATAAAGGAAGAAGAAGATTTGAATTTAGAAATTAAGACTCCAGGACAAAAATTAATTCATTCAATACCAAAAGAAGGTAAGTGAATATTTTGAACTTTTTATATATTTTTTTTTAAATGAATGGCGGTGGTTAAAAATTTTTTTCATTTTATTTCGATTGTTGTCTTTATTTTTAAACTTTAGTTTTCCTTTTATGCATTTAAAATAACATTAGGATTAACTTTTCTGCCAAATTTACTATATATAGTCTTAGTTTTTTATGTTTTAGCGCTATAGGTGTCTAAAGTATTATAGGTTGAAGATGGTATTATGTGTTTGTAAATTTTTACATACCTACGTTATACAAATGAATCGCAACATTAAAATTGCAGCAAAATAATATTGTTGCATAATACAAGGAACTTGTGAGCTGAATAATGTTATAAATCAGGGAAATACTTTTTCTGTGTTCATAAAAATCTTCCAATCTGCAGGTTTATTTAAACATACTTAAATTGAATTGATTACTTTTTTGTCCTTTAGAATATAAGAATGAAAGCTATATGCCTTTATTCAAATTGCAGTAAAATTCTATTGCTACCGAATTCAGCTGGAAGACATCAATTGCTAAATTGTATAGCAGTATACGATATTACTAAAATATACTACACAATTCAGACTGAAAGTACCAAAGTTTGGTTGCCAGATTCATATTGTTGAAATGTGTTTTTAAAAATTATCTATATGTAAAAGATGTTTCATTCCCAATTTCATTATTCCTGATTCAGATATTTCATTCTTAGCATTAAAATTGAAATGATACAATATTATTAGACAATTCAGCAATTAACACTTATAAGCTGAATTGTATAATATTAGAGTATTATTTAAATTAACAGAAATAAGAAGGAAAGTAGTCGTTTAGACACTCCTTTAAGTATATGAAGTGTGTAAGAAGAATAAATGTTAATATAATTTTAATTTCGAAACTTATTAGCATTTAAAATTGTTTTGGCTTGAAAAGCGGGCTAAAATTTGTTGCTGAATATAAAAACGGGTTGTACTGATAGAAAACTTTACTCTTCCAATCTGTTACATTTACTGTCAAAATTTTCTAATTTGCAGTTGTTTCGCTAAAAATATATAATTTGCATAGTGTTTTTTTTTATCTACCCCTTGGTGTATGCAATTTTTTTAAATTTTAAATTATGCATTTTTAATTACAATAAAATTTTTTTTTAAATTTAGTAAAAATCAAATATTTTTTAATTTTAACTTTCATTATACATTTTTAATTGATTTCATATCTCTAATCAATTGAAATATTTTACTAACTTTAAAAATATTTTTTCAAATATGGTCCCTCTTATTTTTTATTCAAGCTTCTATCTTAAGTTATTTGCAATTGATATGCAAAAAACCAGTAATTCTAACCTGAAAATTATAACGAAACCAATTAGAATTTTGTAAAATTTCATGAAATTCTCTGAATAACATATTGATTATTCATATATAATAACTATAATACTGATAGTGTGTACGTAGTATGTATGTACATGTTGTGGATTCATATAGGTGCATTCTAATGGGTTTTATGTAATTTATATAGAAAAATTCAAGTAATTTTTTAGAATTATTGTAAATCAACAAATAAAATTCATATATCAGTTTCTTTATTAAAATCATTAAAAATATTTGGGCTACTACACAAATATAATTAAAAATTTTAAAGGAATCAAGATAGCTAGTCTTCAATAATATATTAAATATTTTGAATACCAAAACCAGTGTGTTAAGATAATAATACATATCAATCGTAGAGATATTTTGAAATTTAGCGGCCATAATACCACTTACTAATTTAAGAGTTACTTGTAATATGAACGAAGATATTGTGATAATACCACTACCATTTTGATTGCCTCTGAAAAATGAGTAAAAATAAAAATAAATTTAAATATTTGACTAAAAATCAAAATTAGCGTGAAAAATTTTGTTAGCTTTATTTTGCTATATTTGAAGAAAACAGCCATATAACTATATACTTTTATTCCGTGACAAATTTATGTCCTTTAAGCTCTCGTTTTTTTTTTTTTTCTATATTATAGCTGCTATCTTAGGTTCAATATATTACTACATAAAAGAAAACATATACCGATGTGTGTTATTAAATTCTAACATTTACATGGAAAAGTTGAACAATCAGAAAACTATTGACCTGAACCAAACAAAGAGAAAGAGAGAGACAGATACATAAATTTAAATTTATTGTCGCTGTGAGAATTGTAATTTTCACTGAAATCACAAATGCAAAAAACCAACATAAAGAAAGGATGAAAAAAAAAACAATAAGTAAAAATATTGTTCTATAGCTCTTAGAGTGTCCTTAAGTTTAGTGAAATTTAAAGATGGTTATAGACTTGGTTGATTTTGTGTTTTTTTCAAATACTTTGGTTTTTCATAGTACATATACTTTGGTGTTCATTGAAGGGTTAAAAATTTTGTTGGATTTTCATGATATTTCCGATTGTTGCGGTAAAAAAAGAAAATAATGTGAATGGTAAATATGGGCGAAAGTTGAAATACCATAGAGATTTTCAATAAAAACGAATTGATTTAAATTATTGGCATATGTGGGGTGTATTTTTTGTTTTTTGTATTTCATTTGAAAAAGAGTTAAACCATAAAATGAGGAAAAAGTTTTTTTGCATTTTTTTTAATATTTAGTTTTGCGGAAAGAAAGTGGTGCTTCTTTTTTTTCCTTATTCGTATTTCTTTGTAGTTTGTTTTTTTTTGTTAAGGCAATTTGGGAATTTTTAAATTGCCTGATTATATGCTATTTGAGAGTGTATTTTGTGTCTTTCCATAAATAAAATAGAAAAAAAGATTTATTAAAGTTTCAATGTAATCAAAAAGTGATTTAAGTTTATTCTGTTTTTTGTACACATTTTTATTGATTTGATTTTTAAAGATATTAAGGGGATTAGGAAACACTTAATCCACGTCCTTTTGTTTTCGAATTGATTTTGTCAATTGTAAAACAAAAATTTTTCTATTAATTTGGTTTGATTGATGCAAAGTGATAAATTTATTAATGCTTTAATTTTATTAAAAACTTTATTTTTTTTTTCATTAATTAAAATATTTTATAATTCGGTTCAAAGATGTGATAATATCGTAGTTGTTGAACACAATTTAACAATTGTTCCTTAATAATAAGCAGAGATGTGTATTAATGCTGTTGAAATGAAATATTCACTTTCAATAAAATCTCTTTGGATAGTTGGAATGCTACTGAAGCGATGAATTTGTTTTCAGTATGAGGCAGTATGGGGCTATCTTGGGAAACTCAATGAATTCGGTAGACGCAACCGGTTTACTTTTGATTTTGGTGTGCGGAAACGGGCACATGCTATTTGTTGAGAACTAAGAAAGCAATCAGTGAATCAAGATTATAGGAATGGGCAGGTAGACTGCAGACTTAGAACTAAGGGGGCATCTTAACAGACTTTGGTTGGAAAGTAAAGACACTTGCAGATCTTCTGTGGTGAAAATAGGGAGACTCCAGTACTCCTCCTGGGAGACTATGTTACAACTACTGAATATTTTATAAATTTATTTACTGTAAATTGAAAAGCAATTCCAGCGACTGTAATTGAGAAGGGTGTTCACCGAATTGCTGAGCGCAGTTTGAAAAATTATATTTCATATTAATTCGTTTCCATAATAAACTTGTTTTTAATTTAAATTGTAATCAAAGTTTTAAATTAAAAATAAAATTTGAAGTTTAAATTTGTTATAAAACCAAATAAACTACAATTAGAGTTAATTGAATTCCTCAAAATGTCCCCTATAAGCTCGATAATTATTCTTAATGCTAGAATATTTAAAATACAAAATGATCTTATTTTTATTTGTTTCGATAGCAAATAATATATAGTTGACTAATTTACATCCTTAAATTTTGTACAAAAAAAAATTACAAAGAATATTATAATTAAATAAATATTTATTTTTGTTATATATGTATAACAATTTATTATTATGTCAAAATATTTCTTATTTAAATACAATTTTACGCATCCAATTGAAATATCTATTTATGTATGTATATGGTGTGGTATATAAATATTTACTAAAATATCATTTTAAATTAGCCTTCATTTCTAGTCATCTTCAACTATTAATAACAATTAATTGTTAGTAGGTTTTTCTTTTTTATATTTATTTTTTCTCTCATTCTTTCAAAATCTATTATAGAAAATTCTTTATATTACGTATACATTTTATTTATAGGAAATATGCTTTAAACATTATTAAACAATTATATTATGTGTACATGTATGTGTTTCATAGGGTGTAGTAATGATGCTACTGCTATATTCCTATTTTTTTGAGCTGAATTTATCACTTCATCACGTTTAAGTCGAATTATGCAGTAAATTTAATCCCGCTTTACTGTAAGCTGTTGTTTACGTTTCCTTAATCATTTATTTCAGTCAACTGTAAATGAAACTTCAGCTGAATCAGAATGAATATCGTTTAATCGTTTATTTATGGCGCTTTCTTATAACTGGGTATAACAGTTTAAGGAGGGAGAAATGAAAAATGAGGTTTGTTATCTTATTCTCGTGCAGGATGCGGTATTGTATAGTGAATTTATTTCGCAAGTGTGAGACGGTAGTTCGGTTTAGACTGAAATATTTTGGTCTAGGAATCTGGTCACTCTATTGATATTTTTCGGCTCTATACAGATACAACACAGATATTTTATTAGAAATCGTGAAATAACATTGATGTAGATAAGGATTGTTGTTAAAAATGGAACAACGGGGCCTGATAATTAAATCTCTTTTAACAAACTGTAAATATTTTTTTCAAAATAATTGAAATGAATATTAAGCTTCATACTGGGCAATTTATTACAAAAAAAAAAAATCCAAAAATCATCCTGTATTTATGATACGCATACATAAATTTATTTAGAGAAATTATCTTCAGGATATGTCCATTAAATTGTAATAGATAGGTTTGTTAATCCAATTTCATTGATAAAATACCTTGAATCTTATTCTCTTATCCTTTTTTTTGAGGAAA